GGGATCCAGAACCTAATCGAGCTTCGGAAAAAACGGAAGCAGAAGAAACGAGAGGCCCTGACCGCCCCCCAGGAGCCGCCTGCAGAGCCCAAGGAGATAGTAAGCATCTGGGGGAGGAGACTTGTGTGGACAGGGGGAGCCAGCAAGGGCCTGGATCACTGCTGGGCGCCCTTCATGATGGCTTTCACACCCTCCAGACTGGCCCTGTGGACGAGGAGACATTCCTGAAAGCCTCAGTGGAGGGGAAAATGAAGGTCATTGAGAAGTTCCTGGCTGACGGGGGTTCCCCAGACACCTGCGATCAGGTGATGTTCCCTCCTGTACCTGCCTCCCTTTCAGAGTTGTCACCCCCCCCCCCCAACCCGGCCCATTTGTGGGCCTGTTTGAGAACAGGCATTGAGTGTCCTTTAGGAGGTGGGTCCTCAGAAGATTTAGGATGCCCCCTTCCCCACACAGGAATTTATCTACATAAGTCCTTTGACCCTTTTCAACTTGAACCCCCTCCAGAGTAACAAATGTCATGTGTTTTTTTGGGGGGAAGAAAGAGGAATGGAATCAAATAAAAAGATTCCAAGATCATGAGTTTGGGGCTCAAATCTCATCTTTACTACTCCCTAGACGTGTGGCCTGTGGGTAGGCCCGTCACCTCTCCGTGCTCAGTTTCTTCCTCTGTAAAACAGCCCTATTCCCTCAGAGGACGTTATGAGGATCAAATGAAATATTAGTTTCTCGATAAGTATTTATTGAATGAATGAAAAAACCATAAAGCACATGCTAGGATATATTTTTGTGTCATATTGTAGAATATCATACTTCTTTTTAAAAATTATTTTTATTTTATTGTGATAGAATACATATAATGTGGACTCTGCCATTTTAGCCATTTTAAGTGTATGATTCAGTAGTATTGATTATTTTTATAATGATGTGCAACCATCACCACTACTTTCAAAATGTTCCCATCACCCATTATACTTTTTTTGGCTTCCCTGAAATGGCCTCTTTCACTTTGTAGGGTGCTCTCCTGTGCTCACATCCTGGGATTAAGCAAACTAATGGTCACCCCCTTCAGCTTGCATTGTTGTAGGCTTAGACTGCAGTCCTTCCTACTCTTTAGACTTCAGACCCTTAATCCTCTTGTTCTAAGCATCTCCTACCTCTGAGCACTGTGCTAGCTACTGGGAGTACAAAAAAGGGAAAAGACAAGGGTTGAGAGTAGCTGGGACACTGATGTTTCAAGAGACCAAAGCAGAAAGCTGACTGCATTGGGAAGGGAGGAAGTTCATTCCTTCCTTGAATCAGTAGTCAGGGTATACCTGCGCATCCTGGCTCCGGGCGAGGCACTCAAGGGCAACAGAGGCAAGTAAGACTCAGCCTGCCCTCAAACACTTTCTCATGGTGGAGGGTTGTCTGGGCCCCCAGGACACCTCTGGCCTAGAGGTTTCAAGAAGACAATGGCACTTGAGCTACATCTTGAAAGAATAGCAAGAATTCATCAAGCACTCACAGGAAGCAGGGGCACAGTGGACATCCTGGCACAGAGAACAGCCTGTGCAAAAGTCTGGCTTGATGTTCTTGGGGGCAGTGAGAAGGTTGGAGTCTCTAGGGCATAGGAGGGCTCCAAGGCTGGTCTGGATAGAGCATTAGGAACTGGCAAACATGGAAGATACGGGACCCAGCACAAGGGTCAGGATCAAGATGGGGTAAGGCCTGGGTCTCAGCTCGGTTGGGAGATGGGCTCAGGCCTGGGGCCAGAGGTTAGGCCCTGACAATCTCTCCGTGGACAGTTCCGCCGGACAGCACTGCACCGAGCTTCCCTGGAGGGCCACATGGAGATCCTGGAGAAGCTTCTGGAGAGCGGGGCCACTGTGGACTTTCAGGATCGGGTGAGCAAGAGGGCAGGTAGTTGGTGGGAGGTGGGTCTAGCACTAATAGATTCTTTCTCTCTGTGCCAACCTAGGACATAGACAGGCTGCCTCGGGGGATAGGCCCCACTTCTAGTGGGTTGAATGATCCTGGGGCAGGCCCCGTCTCCTCCCCAAACCTCCTCTGTAAATCTTATTTGAACTAGCTGGGCCCCAAGGGTTCTTATGCTGTGTTTGATCCATTGCCCAGGCACTGGAGTGCCCTGTCCCTTCCCTGAACCCTTACCCTGGTTATCTCCCTGCCCTCTTCGCTTGAGTCCATTCCTCCAGGGTTCTTTATTCTTTGAAGCTCTGCAATTAAGCCCTATCCTTCCCTTCTAGCTGGACTGCACAGCCATGCATTGGGCCTGCCGCGGGGGCCACTTGGAGGTGGTGAAACTCCTGCAAAGCCGAGGAGCAGACACGAATATGAGGGATAAGGTGAGGCAATAATGCTCTTAGATGTTGGGGTGGCTATGGGTGGCAGGTGGGAGGCAGAGGACAGAAAAGCCCAAGAAGGCAGGAAAGTAGTGAGCCAGCCTGGTTTCTGGAGTGGCTCCAGAGCCCAGGGATGGGTCCCTTCCATCAACTGCAGGCCATTGGAGACCACCACCTGGGAATGGGAGCGGGAAGAGCAGTGGAGAGGGGAAGAGAAGAGACCCACTATCTTGGGGGTTTGGGGACCACCCAAAAGATGCAGGATTTGTTTATCCATGCAATCCTTCATCACCCTTCTATCTATCTGTCTATCCGTCTCTCCATCTGTCCATTCGTCCATCCATTTATTCATCCATTCATTTATTTATTCATCTACCGTTTTTTATTCCTTCATTCCTTTGTATGTGACCTTGAGCAAGTAACAGCCTCTGAGACTCTGTTGCTCATCTGTAAAGTGTCTTGCAGAGTTCTTGTGTAGATTGGGTGGGAAAATGCATGTAAATTAATTATTTATTCAACATAAGGCTAACGTTTTATAAGCTTTTGCCATGTCCATCATATAGTCATCTCTCAATAAATGACATCTATTATATTTATTTAAAAAGGGCAGAGGACTGAGTGGTTGTCCACAGCTAGGCGAGAGGGGAATCACAGAAGGCTTCCCAGAGGAGGTGGCATATAATGCTTCAGAGTGAGACCCTTGGATAGAATGGTGAAAAGTTATAGCATTCCCTACTCCCACCCCCAGGGCTAAGGCCATGGCACTAGGATTTGGGGGAGGGATAAGGTTGGAGTTAAGACATCCCCCTCCCAGAGACACCACAGTCCAGACCCCTTCAATTAGCATTTCCTGCTTCCTCCCCACCCAGCTGCTGAGTACCCCTCTGCACGTGGCGGTCAGAACGGGGCATGTGGAGATCGTGGAGTACTTTCTATCCTTGGGCCTGGACATCAATGGCAAAGACAGGGTGAGTGGGTTCCCTCCTGCCCAGGCCCACCATAGTAGTGCAGGCATCCTGAGGCATCCCACGTGGGTCATGCTGAGTGTCACACTGGCTCTAGGAAGGCGACAGTGCCCTGCATGACGCCGTGAGGCTCAACCGCTACAAAATCATCAAACTGCTGCTACTGCATGGGGCTGACATGATGACCAAGAACCTGGTAAGTTCATTTCTTCCCTGATTCAGTAAGCACTGCTTGCCCAGGCCCTATGCTGGGCAGTTGGAGAGAATGCAGAACTGAGCAAGACTCAGCCTGTCTGACCTTGGAGCACTTCCATAGTGGAGGGTCTCTCTGAGACCCTGGGGATTCGGGGTCTATCCAGTTTCCCAACTCTTTCTATACTTGTCTATGTCCAGAGTGCAAATACAGAGAAAGCGCCTGGAGGGGCAGTTAGGGGACTTCCTAAAGGCCCCCAAATAGGCCAAAGGGAGTCCTAAAGTCCAGGCCCAGGGAGCCCAAACTCATGGAGGAACGTAGGTGGAAGGAACCTAAGCACTTGGTTGGTACGACCATTCCTAGCATACTGTGTTAGTTCCTGGTGGTTCCTGAGTTCTCTTAGGACCCCATGTCCCCTAGTCCAAGCTCTTTTTTTTCAAGCTCTTCTTCGGAGCCCGGAGCAATCCTAAAAGGGAAGAGCATGGGGGTGGGGGGTGGGCGGGGGGTGTCCCCCTGACTCAAAAAAGGTTAAGGGAATATGAGACAGTCAGGAAAATATGGAGAGGGTGTAGATGCAGGCTTCTCAATCGTGGCATTACTGACATTTTGGACTGCACAATTCTTTGTTGTGGGAGCTCTGCTGTGCATTATAGGATGTTTAAGCAGCATACTTGGCCTCTACTCAGGATGCCAGGAGTACCCACCCCCCACCTCCCAGTTGTGATAACCAAAAGGTCTCCAGACATCGCCAATTGCTTCCTCTTGGGAACCACTGGTGTAGAGGATGGCACTTCCTGGTACAGACGTCTGAACAGTGACAAGATCTCCTTTTGGTTCCCCCAGGCAGGAAAGACCCCCACGGACCTGGTGCAGCTGTGGCAAGCTGACACCCGGAGCGCGCTGGAGCACCCCGAGCCAGGTTCAGAGCAGAACGGGCTGGAAGGGGCTGCTGGGAGTAGACCGGGGACCCCCCAGCCTGTGCCAGCCCAGTAAATGCATGCCCCAGCCTGGTTCAGCACCTGGCCCGTCCCCTGCATGCAGCTGGATGGTCAAAAGAATGGCCCCCAGACCTGAGCCATTCCTCTGAGTAAGACCCAAGAGCTCCCATAAGCTACTGCAATAAAAAAGTCATTTTGCTATGCGTGATGTTTGTTTCTATTTGTGTCTGAAATATTTAGGAATGCAAGAATGAGCCCTTTGAGCCAGCCCTGCTGCTTTTCATACCAAGGTCTCTTTGTTACCCCTTTTCCCAAGTCCCAGTGTAAATCACCTTCACCATGCACTGTCTTGGGATCCCTCCTGGTAACTGCTGTCCCGTGGGGCTTTGTGTAGCCAGCACAGGCCTGTCACGTGGCAGCTTTGGCAGGAGGAGCCAGGTAGGGAAGTGGGGTGGGAAGGCCCCGGGGGCTGTGGATCACAGGCAGCTCCTCAGTCAGACCTGCCACACCTCGCACAGGGCGGGGCCAGCTCAGACTACCGGCTCCTCCCACCAGCCACAGAACTGCCAAGTGGAAGGTGGCAGGGCTCCTGGCTTTGGGGCAGGGAATGTGGGAGGAAGGCCCAGGCCCCACAGGAGACACTCATTAGTGTCGGGACCTCAGGAATCAGTCCCCCATCTGGCCAGAGGGACACTGGGTTGTGGCATTTCTCCGGCTGCTCCCCAGGAAGAGGAGGATCCCCCTGAGGCCTATAGGCCTAGATTTTCACTCTGGGGTCACCCAGCACAGCCTGCCCCAGGGCCGACAAGTCAGGGGGCAGCAAATTTTTAACTAGACACATTGATCATTAACGGGGGTAGGAAGGAATCCAAACTCAGCCTCTTTAAGGGCAGAGACTAGCTGGGCCTCAGGCCTCCTATGGAGATGCTGGGCCCCCGAGTCTGGTCCTCTGTGAGGCAGGGGCTAAACAGAGGCCTGTCTAGGAATGTGGGGGGCTGGGCCTCAGGAGAGGGGAGGAAGGTGGATATTGCAGGCATCTACCCTGCTGTGACCACCCCCTTCACTGCCACAGCAGAGGTAGACTATGGGAAACTGGAGGAGAATCTGCACAAACTGGGCAACATCCCCTTCCGAGGTAAGTAGACCTGTCCATTGTGGGGGTCAGGGGAGATGTGAATGAGCCCAGTCTCCTCAGCTAGAGACCAGAGGAGGGTACATTTTAGGCACGGCTGGAGGAATGAGTTGCGAGAGACCAAAGTTGGTCTTATTAGAATTTATTTGGCATATTTGAGCTGCAGGAGGTCAAGTTAGAAAAGACCGTAAGCTCTCCAAGTAAGACAGCTATGGAGTTTTATAGGGGGAGGTAAACAAGGAGCTATTCCTCTTCAATGCTTCAGGGGCTTTTCATTGCATTGCTTATTGTAACCGAGGGTTTCAGAGTGTGGCCATGTCCTCTTGCTCCATATCCTGGTTCCCATGTCATTGTCTGAGAAAGTTCAGGTCTGTTGATCATGGGCTCCCGTGAGAAAAATACAAGCCAGCATGTACAAGCAAGCAGGGAGCAAGACAAGATGGCTTCTAAGATAAGATGGTTCTATTTGGCACATTCCGGGCAGTTTCTCTAGGCCTAAGGTGGTTTCTGCTCCTGGCCTGTTCCTGGCCTAACAATACACAGGCTCTGTGGAGCTGCTCAGGGACAGTGGGGTACTCCAGGGTCATTTTATTTTGGGAGAGGAAGAGGGGACACTGGTCCGGTTTCAGGGAACAGGTGGGAAGCTCCCTGCTGGTTTGTGACCTTGATTGAATCTCTCCTGCCTTGTTTTCCCAGTTTTAAACTGCTTAAAGTGCCTTCTTAGCTCCCAGCATTATTGTGGGGATCAAACTAGATAATGGATGTGAAAGTCCTTGTCAACTAGGCGCTCTGCAGGTGTGAGGGCAGCCACGGTGTCACGTGGCTGCCTGGCCTGCAAGCTTATCTCCTTCAAACGCCTTGTTCACACTCTCTCTTTTGGCAGAAGCCTCCCTCGGCAAAATTAATTTCTGTTCTGGATCCTCTGACTCGTTTCCCCTTTTACACATGGGTCTTCCCTCTCTGAAGCCAGGAACCAGACCGTAATTTGTGGCACTCAACATACAACACGGCCACAAGCACAATAAATCAAGATAGAAGGTAGAAGAAATGACAAATTCCTCCCATTCTTCCCTGGCCACCCTCATCTATTACTCGTGACAATTCCCTGAGGCAGTACTCTCAATAGCCCCGTTTTGCAAATGGGGAGCTGGGGCTCAGAGTGACCCAGCCACTTGCCCCAAAGTCACTTACTAGTACACGGCTGAGCTGAGATTGGAACCCAGGTCTGACTACACGGCCATGTTCAGTTTCATTCCAATGCACTGACTGCTGACTTGTTAGACCAGATGATTTCCACAGTCTGGCTGGCCCCAGCTTTGGGAATACAGTGGCTCCAGCTGAGGCAGTAAGTCGAGCAGATAAGAACATGGACTCTAGACTCAAATCACAGCTCTGCTGTGAGATAGTCTCTAAACCTCAGGCTCCCCATCTGACACATGAGAGTAATAATGCCCATCTCATAGGATGGTTGGGAGAAAAATCTGAGCGAATGCAAGTGAAAGCGTGCTGTAAATTATAAAGAGTGGTACGTTGGACAGTATTGATTCCATTGATAACAATTATTAGAATGACACTGTGGACAAAGCTGCTTTGGAACAGTAACCGCTAGCCTGACTGAGACGCCACTCATCTCTCAGTGCTGAGGTGATGTGACCCTTCCTTAGAAGACAATGAATGCTCTGTGGACACCCACGTTGAGCAGTGACACAAAGTAAATTTCTTCTGGGGCTCAGCTCATTGGGGCCAGAAGGTGTGAGCTGAGGCCTGTTTCTCTTGAAGCAAAGTGAGAAGCTTCTTGAATCTCTAAGAGAGAAGACTCTGCTTCACCTTCTAGGTTCAAGGACACCCTAGTGAAGGGGGTGGGAAGGGTAGACTTTGCATCTGGTCTGCCTGCCACCCAGAGAATCCACAGAGAACCCCCAGGTTCTTTGGACCCCAACCCCCCTGCAGAGGGCATGGTGGTGCCTGGGAGCATGGACTACAGTGGACTTGCCAGGCCATGGGTCACATGTGCCTGCTAGTACATCTCCCGTGCAACCCACATAGGTGCCTGCTCCCACCTCATCTCTCTCTCTCTCTCTCTCTTACTCCCACACATATGTGGTAGAGGGCAGTGAGCTGTGTAGAAAGAGTCCAGCATCTGGAATTAGAAGACCAGGTAAGAACCCTGGTTCTGCCAGTTAAAATGAGTTTCCTCATTTCAGAATGGGAACCAAGCCACAGGCTTCAACCCATTCCTCCCAAGGAGCTCACAGCGCACGAGGCCCTGGCACAGAGAACGTAGAGCCAGAGGGTCTTTTCACTGCTCCCAGGACATAGCCCAAATGCCCAGAAGGGAGCAGTGAGCCACGTTAGCTCTAAAATCGGTGTTTCTCTTGCCTGATCCTGGCCCAGCTTTGCAGCCCAACACTCAGGGGCACAGGAGGGAACCATCGCAAATCACATTGCCAGGGTCTCCTGCAACAAGTTCAAGGTCCTCCAAAGAGGAGGTGGGAACCTGCCCTCGATGAACCAGTGAACAGTTAGAGATTGTTCTGGAAGGCATTGTCTGAAATTGTGTAGCTACTTTTATTTTTATTTTTTTCATTGTCAATTTGTACTCATTATTTGAATATAGAGTATTCTTTTAAAACTAAAGTTATACCTGGAGACTGGGGGTGGTGTTTTTGCAGAGGGGCCATTTGGCCCTGAACTCACTCCCACAAACAACCTCAGAGGTGAACTTTGAATTGTTATTTCCGAATGAGATCACTGGACAACAACAGAGCTATTCCAGTCGGACTGGGGAGGTGATGTTTCCCATAGAACTTTAAGCTTGTGTCTTATTCCCTTAGTATGTAGACTAGACCATGGTTTCCTGTGAAAAGGGAGGATATTGTTGTATATGTTAAAGCCATTACTTTGTTAAATAAAATGTCACAATTTTTATAACCCTATTTTGGCATTTCTTAATTTAAAAAAAAATGTCTTAGATGCCTCTGGGTGAAATCATAGAGTGGCCTATGCCTGTTTCCACCCCCAGAGGCCCTAGGTATAACTTGGGATTATGGGCCAGGATGTCAGTGATCTGTACCGATGGAGAGCCTGGTTCACCCTTTCACAACCTGCACTGTGCCCGTTTATGGGGGTGGGTGAGTGGTGGTGGCAAATTGTGGGTTTACAGGTGTATCACTAAGGCAAGAGGTAGCAGCCCCATGCTGGAATGGCCCCAGGTACCTGCGACCCAATGACATTATCTTTCCTATCTGCTCTGCCTTCTCAGCTCTGTTCACCTTGCCCCAATTGTGTCCTCACATTATTCCGGAATGTGCTCCTTGCTGGGCCCCTTTTCCTTCTGGACCCTGCTCTGTAAATGGGGCTAGTGTGTGGGGGGGTGCAAGTGGAGATGGAATGTGCTGAGCTGGCAGCAGGTGTGGACCCTGGATGGAGGGAGACAATGACTTCAGGCGGCCAGGAATGGATACCAGCCCAGCCAAGGGGCCCTTCATCCATGGCCAGCCTGACCCAGGAGCTTCTGCTCCCTGGGAGCCACTTGATGGTAAGGGAGATAAACCAAAGACTAGAAGATAAGAAGGACTGAATTGCAGAATGGGTCACAAGCAGAAGGCAGAAGGGACCCAGAGTTGGGGAAGCTGCCTTTCCACAGACCGCGGGGACAACTGTCAGAGTAGGAGAGAGAACCTGGGCCTCAGGCAATGCCTACCAGGCTAGACTTGAGGGATTCTGTGACCTCTCCCCACCCCACCCCCCAACCACCTTCATCACAATGGGGTTCATTGCTGAGGTGGGAGGGGCAACCTAGGGAGGGTGCAGTGGGAGATCTGCCTGCCAGACACTCTCAGGGAGCCTGCCCTTTCAAGCATGAAACATACCATCTGGGCTCCCCTACTTCCAGTGTGCTCTTAGCTCTGCCTGCCTGGTGTAGGGTCCTGGAGACCTTCTTGGAGCTCATCCAGCCACCATCATGCAAGGTGGTGCTGGGGACCGCCCTCTTACTCGGGTGTGGAGGCCTCATGCTGTGGATTCAGAGGAGGAGGAAAAGGAGGCCAGCCTGTGGGTCTTCACAAGATGAGCACGAGCCACAAGAACGCCACAATGCACAAAATGAGAGCTGGATCAAATCTCACTTTAGCCGCCTTTCCGAGGAGAAGCTGGCCACCGGCAGCGCCACTGCTCCCCAGCCTGAGAGTGGGAGTAGCGAGGCCAGCACTACAATTCACACGGAGACCTTAACCACGAGGCAAGGAGAATCGGGCACGGCTCTTCACCAGGAGTCCTTCAACAGCAAGCAGAAGACATCTGGGTCCTCAGCGGTAAAAGAGACCCACAAGGAGTCTGGAAAATCCTCACCCACCAATGAAGCCACATGGGCCGCTGTGGCTGCTTGTACCAAGGAGATTGACACCAAGGGGCAGCAGCTGGCTAGCTCCATGTTGCAGCATGCCACGGTTTACCAGAACTCAGGCCACTTGGAGTCCAAGGACATCAACCAGGAGGAGCTGAAGGGCCTCGGGGAGGTGGAGATGAGGCTGAAAGGCAACTTCCTCACCCGGCGGGAAACCACTATAGCTGGTGTGAACCATACACACACTTTCTATGGACATAGTCACCATAACCACCAGGGTTATCCAAGCCAGCTGAGCCACCAGAGCCACAGCCTGCCTAACCGCAGCCACCAGACCTATCACCCCTTCAAAGCCACCTAACCATGGATGGAGACACCCCTTCCCCCAACAGGGCTGGCACACAATCACAGGCCTGTTTATCTCCTATGGGATAACCTGTGTGGCCCAGGGTCAGATGCTGCCACCCCAATCCCTTCTTCCTGAGGCCCCTACAGGGGTCTTGGGCCTCTTGGACTCCATAAGTGAGGTCTGCCACAGAGTATGGCCCCTAATGGAGGGAGAGTTGGGAGGAAGCAAAGCAGCTGAGACAGACTCACAGGCCCCTACAGACCCACCAAGAGAAGACAGACAAGGCAGATCTCAGGAGCAGCTGAGAGTCCCACACTGATGTCACAGGCCTGGACCTGAGCCAATAAAGCCTTGTACACCCTCACTCTGAGTCTGGGGGCTCTGTGGCCTGCCTCAGGGATGGTCAGGGATGGTGGGGAGAGGGTTCCTTCTCCCACAGTCCTCTTGGTGTGGGCCTTGGCCTGGGGCCTTTTCACTGGGCTGATTCAAGATGCCATAAAATGGCTTCCCCTGGTCCCAGGTTTTGGGGATGGGAAATCTCTAGGGGGCTTCACACCCGCCAACCTGCTGTTGTCAGGGAAGGAGGAAACAGCCAGACATTGCGGGGAGGGGTGGAGACAGACCCCTAGAAGCAAGTTAGTAAGCAGGGTGATGTAGGCCCCTGCCTTCTTGGTGCCACCCTCAGCCTGTCTCCGGCTTCTCCAGTCGTGTGGCATCCCATATCGCAGTTTCTCCCCGCCTTCCGGCTCCCTGGGGCCCACTGGGATCTGGGTTAGAGCTATCGTGCTGTAGTCTCTCTCCCTGCTTATGTTAATGTTGTTGGGGCCGAGGCTGCCACTGCTGCTAGTACCACTACTAACTAGTTAGCAGCTCCCTCTTTTTGAGGATTTTTTTTTCTTTTTTTGAGTTTCAGTATATGCCACATTCTGTGTGAAGTATTGTGGCACAGCTCCATGGCAGAGGTATTTCATTCTGTCCATTTTGCAAATGAGGCACCTGAGGCTCAGAGATGTAATTCGCCTGAGATGGCATAGACAGTAAGTAAAGAAGGGGTTAGAGCCCTTCTTTGCCTGACTCCAAAGCCTAAACCAGGAACCCCTGCCCTTTTCTGACCCCCAATCCCATGCCCATCATTCCTCGATGGGTCTACCTCTCTCATGCTTACCCCTGTCGTCTTCCCATCATACCCTGACACTTTCTGTGCTGTGCTGCAAGCCTGGGACTCTCCCTGCTTCTTTTTCCAGGGCCCCAAGGAGCCATTTCTGGGGCAAGGGGTGACCCCCAGTTAGGCAGTTAAGTTCTGGGGAACTTGAGAGAAGTGAGCTACGTGGCATTGTCTAACCCCCAATAACCCCTTTACATGGAAGTTTCTTACTATTTGCATCTATTATGGGTTTACCAGTGGTCCCCAATCTGTGGGCCTCAAACTCCAAGGAGAAGTAGTAAGGCTACTACTACCAGCAGCACCTCATTGCAAAGGATGCATACATCTATAAACACCCTAAAAGCCGTCGATTGACTTTATGGTACAGAGCTGAGAGTATTTGAATATTTTTGACATTACTAATAAGTGACCCTGATAAACCTAGTACCTATCTAGCATCATACCTACTTATTACAATATTATTGACTATATTCCTTATGCTATACCCTGCATCCCCATGACTACTGTGTAACAACCAATTTGTACTTCTTAATCCCTTCCCTTTCCACCCATCCTTAAGCCGCCTCCCATCTTAAAGAAGTCCCTCTAAGATTCTTTGCAATACTGGTTTGGTGGTGATGAACTCCTTCAGCTTTTTCTTGTCTGGGAAGCTTCTTATCTGTCCTTCAATTCTAAATGATAGCCTTGCTGAGTAGAGCGATCTTGGTTGTATGTTGTTGCTTTTCATCACTTGAAATATTCCCTGCCACTCCCTTCTGGCCTGCAAAGTTTCTGTTGAGAAATCAGCTGACAGTCTTATGGGGGCTCCCTTGTAGGGAACTAACTGCTTTTCTCTTGCTGCTTTTAAGGTTCTCTCATTGTCTTTAACCTTTGGCATTTTAAAAATTATGATGTATCTTGGTGTTGGCCTCTTTGGGTTTATCTTGTTTGGGACTCTCTGTGCTTTCTGGGCTTGTATGTCTATTTCCTTCACCAGGTTAGGGAAATTCTCTGTCACTATTTCTTCAAATAAGTTTTCACTTCCTTACTCTCTCTCTCTTCTCCTTCTAGTCCCTATAATGTGAATGTTAGTATGCTTGATATTGTCCCAGAGGCCCCTTAAGCTCGCCTCAATTTTTTGGATTGTTTTCTTTTTGCTATTCTGGTTGGGTGTTTCCTGCTATCGTATATTCTACATTACTGGTTGGATCCTCTGCTTCACCTAATCTACTGTTCATTTCCTGTAATATATTCTTCATTTCCATTATTGTATCCTTTATTTCTGACTGATTCTTTTTTATGTTTTCTATCTCCATTTTTGCATTTCCTATCTTTCTGTTGAAGTTCTCCCTAAGATCAGTGAGCATCCTTATAACCAGTGTTTGGAACTCTACGTCTGATAGAGTGCTTATTTCCATTTCACTTAGTTCTTTTTCTGGAGCTTTGTTCTGTTCTTTTATTTGGGGCATGTTTCTTTGTCTCCCCGCTTTGGCTGCCTCCCTGTGTTTGTTTCTATGTATTGGATAAGGCTGCTATGTCTTCTGGTCTTAGTAGAGTGGCCTTATGTAGTAAGTGTGCTGTGGCACAGTCTTTCCGTTCACCTGAGCCACGCACTCCAGGTGTGTCCCTTGTGTGGGTTGTTTGTGCCCTCTTCTTGTAGTTGAACCTTGATTGATAATTGCACATCAGTGGGAGGGGCTGACCCTTGGGCTCATTGGTTGTGACTACAGTTGAGGAGTTGTGGTTCAGGGGCCTATCCTGCAGAGCAGGATCTGCCTCAGCAGGGCTCTGGTGCCTGCCCAATCTTCCCCTTGGGTGTGTCATACTTGGAGGTGGTTGGGTAATGTTCCAGCTCATTTTGAAGCTGGCCACTGGCCGTGCCAGGACCACCTTGGAGGGGGTCTGCTGTAGGTCAAGTTCAGCCACAGCCCATGTTTCACCTGGGGCCGGCCAGCGGGAACCACAAAGAAACCCCCAGATGGCTGCCACTTGTGCTGTGCTTGGAAGCACCTTGAGATGTCAAGCCACGAACCAAGGCTGGCTGCCACTAGTGCCGTGCTTAGGGCTGCTCAGGCAGAAGTACAGGACAAACTCAAGTCAGATGCCCCTTGTCTGGGTTCCACAAACCTTTGAGAGACCCTAGGAAAGTCTGCAGCTTGAACCAAAGCAGGTGGTCTACCCGAAAAAGCCACTGGAAGCGGCCTAGGTGTGGCCGAAAGTTGGGTGGGGCGGGGTCTCTAATCGCCCAGGTGTGGCAAACCTCAGCTGCCTTTGTCCATAAGTGAAGAAGGGGGAGGTCTCAGCCAAAAAAACCCCCAAAAAACAAAAAAAAACAGCATCCACCAGCTCCCCCATCCAGGAGAAAGCCTCCTCTCCAGCTCTCCCAAACAAGACAACTCAATTCCCCACCATATGTCCCTGCTGCCTTTCCAGCTGCTACCCCAGTGCTGGAACTCAGAGCAAGTGATTCCATTGGTGGGTAAGTCCGCGCACAGCTCCTTTAAGAGGAGCGCCTGGGAATGCAGCCGCCTTCTGTCTCAGTGTCAATCTCTGCTGGTTTTCACAACCAGAAATTATGGGGACTTCTCTCCCCGGCACTGGAATCCTGGGCTGGGATAGGGCTGATATCTCTTACTTCTCTGTAGAATGAGGGGGGACCCCCCCCAGCTGAAATATCCCTCCTGATCTTTAATGGTCACATGCAGTGTGAGACCCGCCTGTTCCCTGTTTCTGCCCCTCCTACCAGTCTGGAGGTGACTTCTGTGCATTCTTAGTTGAACAGCTTCAGTTCAGCTTGATTTTTGGCGATTCTCAGTAACAGTTGTTTTGTAGATTAGGTGTAATTTTGATGTGGTTGTGAGGTAAGGTGAGCACAGCATTTACCTACAGCGCCATCTTGGTTGTCCCCCTCCTCTTTGCATTTTTGAGTAGGCAACAGAGGAGAGATGTCCAGTGGAGGCATTCCAGAAAGACTTCTCAGAGGAGGTGGTAATGATGATGAGCCAAGGGGCGTAACAGTAGGAGAGACTGTGACTCCTTTTGGCCACAGTCAGTGACCAGGTTGCTTGTGCATCCCCAGCCCCAAACACTCACGTCCCTTCTCAGGTCACTCTGGCTCCTCAGAGCAGAAGCGTAGCCATGGGGACAAGGGAGAGTAGCTCTCACACTGACCCTGTTCATCTTACAGCTGGAGGGGGCCTGAGAGGTCAGAGTGCAGCCTCCCCTCCCACATCAGCCATCTTCCTCCTCCTCAAATTGAAAGCTGCCACCCTCCTGACTTAAGCCTTGAGCCCTTTCTCCTGATTCCATAATAATTACAGCTAACGCTTGCTGAGTGCCAGGTTCTATCCTAAGCCCTTTACAAATACTATCTCATTGAAGCTTCACAACACTCTTTAAGGGGAGTACTAATATGATCCCCATTTTTCACTTGATGAAGCTGAGGTTTAGTTAAGCCATTGGCCCAAGATCTCATAGGGGGTGAGGGGGCCACACTACGAGTTAAACCCAGGCTCCTCTGGGTTCAGAGCCTACATATCTGACCATTCTACTGCCCTGCTCTGTGCTTCTCTACCACTCCCTTTCCTCCCTCCTGACGCATCTGGGACCCTGGCCTTTTCCTGTCCTGTAGTCCTCTCTCTACACCAGCGGAAGCACAGCAGGCCTGAAACTGGACATCTACCCAAGGACAAGGAGGGGGCTCTTGGCAGCATCAGTTCGCAGATTTCAAAGTGCTTTCTGTACATTTTCTTCATTGTGCCTTTAAGACAGCCCTATCAGGTAGAATTGAAATGATTTTTATTGTCATCCCATAGAAAAGGAAATGGAGACTCAGAGACATGATGTGACTGGCTCAATAGCCAGAGGTGATTTGGGTTCGGTGCTTCCCCAACTCTACCACGCTCCTCTTCCCCAAACTGGCATTTCTCCTTCTTGGGAGTCAGGCCTGGGTCAGATGTTCTCTTAAACGGGACAAGAGAGAGGCCACTAAGAGTCTTGGGGACAGGGGCCTGCTTCACCCCCTAGAGTGCAAGACTAGCTGTCCCTGCTGTTTAGGCCAGATCCAACTGTGGGGCCCGGGGACCTCTGGAACTGACCCCCAGAATGAAGGGGGTCTTGGGAGTGAGTGACTGTGGTTGAAGAAGTATCTGGAGCGAGAACCTCCCCTCTCCACCCCCCCTTCAAGGAGGGGTAGCAGGCAGGGTTGGGGAGGGAAATGTCCTTGGCGTTCTAATAGAAGGAGTAGCAAAAGCTTGATCTCCAAATCTTTGATTTCTAAATGAGAGGGTGCTGGTCCAATCACGGCTGGACTGGAGCCTTCTCCGGGGTTGGCAGATCTGAGAATGGAGGTGACCTACTGGGAAAGCTCTGGGGCCGTATGTAGCAGGACATAAGGAGGCTCCTGCCATCGGCTCCAAGCCTGACACGGAGGAATTGCTCCTGAGGAGGCAATCCAACAGAAGCCAAAAGCTATTTGCCTCAAGATGTTCCCTGCAATGTTCGCAAAGCAAAAAACTGAAAAGAGAAAAGAAAAAAAAATGCTAAGTATCCAGTGAGCTATTCTGGCAATCTACTCAGTGGACTCTAATGATGTAGTAAACAGCATGGGAAAAGGTTTGTGGTGTAAAGTTGACTCTGCATCACACTGTGTCCCCTGAAGGATGACTCACGGGAACAATTTCTCTTGGTCCCAGTGCCAGGAAACTGTGTTTCTCCAGGGCAGCTGCCTTGCTTTTATCTGGAGGTCTACATATCTGTCAACTGACCACGTTTCCCTTTTAGCTTTGACTGTTGGAAAGCTCCAAATCAGATTCATGGCCCATCACTCACAACCATATGACAGGAATTTTGAAATCCATACCCCTTCCCGTCTTTCTTTTCTTTCCTTCCTCCCAAACACTTCTCTATTTATTAATAATCTTGTTGTATTGTATGCTGCCTTTGTCAACTATTAAAGAAAAATATGTTTGGAGGAGAATGGGGTAGATAGGAGAAAGAAGAGGAAAGAGAAAGTTTAAAAAGGCTGAGAGGAAAATGGTTTTACTGAATTGCCTTCAGATTCAGCTGAAGAGCATAGTGGACTCTGCTGGTCTCTCGTGAATATAAAAGGGTTGACACCTTTAATTAGTGATGTTCGAAACCATGCCAATGATAGATAAAACAGGAAAAATGCAAAATGCAAAATAATGAGATGTCACTTTCCACCCAGAAAATTGGCGAAAATGAATGCTGACAAACCCCAGTGTTGGCATGGATGAGCACTGACACCCTCTTCTATTTGCCAATGGGGCATGAACTGGCTAATTAGAGAGATATTTATTTGGCACGTGCAGGGGCACATACATGTGACTTGGCAGTTACACACCTAAGTATCTAAACTGTAGGGAGACACTCTTAGACCCGGGCACAGAAGATTTTACAGAAAACGTTTGTTTCAGCATTGTTTGTAACAGCAAAAATAAGGAAAATCTCAAAACACGATATTGGATAAAAACGGCCAACTGCGGAAGGTATGTAAGTGTGATCCCATGTCTATAAAGTTTAAAGTGGCAAAACCCATATGATATCGTGTTTATGGATCCATACGTATGTGTGAAGGGTATAAAAACATGAATGGGAACAGTAACACCTGAGTCGTGACAGCAAGAGGAGGAAGAGGAAGGTGACCTGGGGAGGGTTGCCATGGGTGCTGGATATGTGCACGTGGATTCTGTTACTATCTATCTGTTCTTTTGGGGGTGGCTAAAACAGTTCAAAACAAAGAAAAATGGTGTGAACAATGTCATTGCAGCTGGGTAAAACATTCTGCCTGCATCAGAACAAACATGGGAAGGAAATCGGTGCAAAACCTTGGTGTTGGGGAGGTAGGAACCGGGGTGAGTGTAGCAACAATGTCCCGGTTGTTCCCAAGAGGGTGGGAAGGCCTCAGGCTGGCTATGACGCGGCCTCTCTTGCAGGCTTCTTGGTCCAGGGCTCCAATGGCGAGTTCCCCTTCCTGGCCAGCAATGAGCGTCTGGAGGTGGTGAGCTGTGCGCGTCAGGCCATGCCCAAGGACAAGCTCCTGCTAGCTGGTTCCGGCTGCGAGTGTGAGGCTCTAATGCCCTGGGCCCTGGGGGCAGCGGGAGGGTCTGGGGGTGGCTGGGGGTGGCTGGGGACCTTGGCCTCTGAGTCCTCGCTCATCTCCGCAGGCCCTCAGGGAGAGGGGGCAGCTGTCCCCTGGAGGACAAACNGGGGGTGGCTGGGGTGGGGCTCTTTGGCCCTGAGGCTGGGGTTCAGTTTACTTGTCTACTTGTTCTGTCTCTTTTGCACCCCTTGCTTGCCCCAGAGTCCTAGCCCAGCCCTCCTTCGTCCTGCTCTCATCCTCCATGGCCTGTAGAGAAGACTGTCTCTTTCCTTCTGCAGCCACTCAAGCCACAGTGGAGATGACCGTGAGCATGGCCCAGGTTGGGGCTGATGCCGCCCTGGTGGTGACCCCTTCCTACTATCGTGGCCGAATGAGCAGTGCTGCCCTCATTCACCACTACACCAAGGTGGGTGTGAGGGGTGGGATGGGCTTGAGGCCTGGGACCAAGAGGAGGCTGGATGAGGGGGAGATTCAGCCTGGGGAGAGGAGACAGAAGCTGGGAATGGAGTGGCGAGCCTACTTCCCATGAATGGCAGTTCTGGGAAGGGGAGAGATGCTACCACGTGACAGCTGTGTGACATTGGGTGACTGCCCTAACCACTCTGTGTCGCTGTTTCCTCCCCTCTCAAAAGAGAGGAATAAAGGTATCTTTCTCGTAGGGTGGTTGTGAGGACTAAATTCGATCAAAACATGAAGGACTTGGGACTGTGCTTGGCACATAGAAAGCACTCACTAAATACCACCCACTATTATAGCTTATGAGCAGCGCACGTCGCCCTGTGACTTCTAGTCCCGGGGGTGGGCCTGTCCAGGGAGCCCAGGCCCAGACCTATTGGTGGTGAGGCTCCACGGGCCTGGGCAGCTGCTTTCTCCCCTCTTTTGTGTGTCCCTCAGGTCGCCGACCACTCTCCAATTCCTGTGGTGCTGTACAGTGTCCCAGCTAACACGGGGCTGGACCTGCCTGTAGATGCAGTGGTCACTCTTTCCCAGCACCCGAATATCGTTGGCATCAAGGACAGCGGTGGTGATGTGAGTGACAGCAGCTCCTGGTTGAGGCACCTTCCTTTTCTGTTTTGCTATCAATTTCAGGGCAGCTCTGGGACCCGCTTCAGTTCTGGGCTCCTGTTTGGCACTCTCTCTTGTCATGTGGACTTTCTAGGGTTTTGTCTGAACTTTGAAGCGCCTCTCTGGGACCTGGGCTCTCGTTTGCTCACGCTGGCCCAGCCCCCACCCGGGATGGCCTGAGGTTCTGGGCCCCACTCACACCTGGTTTACTGTTGCAGGTGACCAGAATCGGGTTGATGGTTCACAAGACCAGGAGGCAGGATTTCCAGGTGTTGGCTGGATCGGCTGGCTTCCTGCTGGCCAGCTACGCCGTGGGTAGGCCCCCTGCAGCTTTCCTACTGTGATGGGTGACCCAGAGACAACCTGCATGCAGCTGGGGTCTGCTGGGAGAGAGTGGGAGCGCCGGGGCTGGGTCCGCAGAGGGCCTTGGCCAGCCTGCCTACTCCAAAACTTCAGAAATCCAGCACACTGCTTGCTTGTCTGAACAGTAGGTGCTTGTGAGTGACCCTGTTGGGTGGAGGAGGGTGGCCGTGTACAATCCCTGGCCTGTTGTAGGGATGCCTACGATTTACTCTGAGTCCCAAATTTCCTACTTAGGTGACGAATTTAGATCCTCTAATCTCACTTTGTAAATCATCCTCTGAGGGCAGAGGCTTGGGGCCCTCCCCTCGTCTCTAGTCAGGAGTCCATTTTCCTCTCTCCCTGGTCCCAGGCCAGCATGAACGGTCAGACCCGCAGGGTTGGGCCAGGGATCTCCTTCAGCTGCCTGATCAGATTCTGTTCTAGCCCAGGATCTTAGGACTGTTGCCATTGTCTGTTTGTGGTCAAGGTCCTTGGGTTCAGGTTGGATTTGAGCCCAGGAAGGGCAGGGAAGCATCTGCTCCTTCAGCTGAAGCCCCAGCGAGTGTAGATTTGAGTTACTTTTTCTCATGCTGTTAGGGGGCAATCCTGTTCTCTCTGGCCTTTGCAGACTTGGGCTTGTTGTCTAGGTCCTTGCACATCTCCCCTCCGTCTCTTCAATGCAGGGGACCCATTTATGCCTCATTCCTGAGAGTAGGGCAGATGGGGAAAGCACAGGCTCTGGATGCCTGGGGGATCTGAGCTGGAATCACAGCTCTGCTGTTTATTCACTGAGTATCGCTGGGCAAAGTACTCTACCTCTCTAGGCCTGAGTTTCTACTCGGCAAAGCAGAGGGGTGTTGTCAGGATTAGGTGGCATCGGCTCCATGTCTGCCATAGTGCTTAGCACGTAGTAGGTATTCAGTCAGTGGCAGCTATATTAGCTCATTCCATGGCAGCTATATTAGCTCATTCCAAATTGCCTACTCTCTGTCACTCTTGAGACCGCTTTGTTTAGGGACACTCCTAACTACTCTTGGCATCACACTCACAGGCTGGCAGAAGTGGCAGGGCCCTTTGAGATCATCAACAGCCCATTTTCATTGCCCTGATGAGAACAAAGAGGACCAGAAGGGTCTATGACTTGTCCAAGTTCATGCAGCCAATGGGAGGAAATGTCACAACTCCTGACTGTGTCCAGAGTGCTTTCCACTGCCCGCCCCACCCCCACCGCTGTCCAAGGCTGAATTCACTGGGGGGAATATGATTGCAGAAAAGCAAAGCCTTCCCATCCATTCTACCCCCTTTCAGGACTGATGAGTCAGGGGCTAGTGGAGGAGCGTGAAGCTGTCAATTGGCAGTTGGGACTCTGCCTCCCGGGGGGAGAGTGCAGGGAAGGAACTGTCCTTAAATTAGCCTTCAGCCTCTGCTTGCTGCCCCTCAGCCTGTGGGGTTCTACTTCAAATATGCTGGCGGCTTTTCTCTCTGTACTCTGTAGACTCACAAAGCATGCCTTTGACGTGGCCAGCCAGTGGCATAGAAACCCACATCCTAGCTCCCCAGAACAAAGGGGTGCTGGGGACCAGAGTTTGTAATTCTCTGTTAAGAAGAGGCTCTGGCTGACATTCTGCATCTTACTCTGGGGCAGGAGCTGTGGGGGGCGTGTGTGCCCTGGCCAATGTCCTGGGGGCTCAGGTGTGCCAGCTGGAGCGACTCTGCCTCACAGGGCAATGGGAAGATGCCCAGAAGCTACAGCTCCGCCTCATTGAGCCAAACACTGCGGTGAGCTCCCAGCAATGGCAGCAAAGGGCAGAGGTGGTGGTGGTGGAGGGTGGGAACAGCCTGTGTCCTCATTGGAGCAGGAGCTAGAGTGGACACAAGGGTCCCCACTCAAGTTTCTTCCCTTTCGGAATATCCTTTTAGAGAACATTCCAGTGTGGAAACTCCTTACGCACTCCCAGAAAGTCTTGACAAAGTTGAGCCCCACTGGTTCTCAAACTTAAGTGTGCATTAGAAGTAATTTAGGGAGTTAGTTAAAATTGTAATCCTTTTGGCCCAGTAATATGCATTGAGACAGGTAGCTGCAGTGATTGGGACCTTACTTAGCGATGCACTGCCTAGAGAGAGGGACCATGGGCTTTTATACCAGCTTTATGAGGGGCCAGATCCTGAAAAACTGAATGATTGAGAGTAAAGAAGTTGGAAAGCTGGAGGTATTCAGAGCCCAGATTTCCCAGGAGACTTTTGTCTTCAAAAAAATCTATTCTAGGGCCGGCCGAGTGGCTCAGTTGGTTAAGAGCTTGCTCAAGAGTTTGAGCTCTGAGCAACAGAGGTTCGATTCCTGGCCTGAGCTAAGCAGCCGCTGAGCTGCCAACAGGTGGCGGGATGGCTCAGCTTAAAAAAAAAAATCTGTTCTGCTGTCAGGCCAGGTACCCCAATTCTATGGTGAGCAAGTCATAGAGAAGAGTCAAGATGGGACACCTATCAAGTGCCAGGCAATGCTATGCAGAGCCATATTGGAGTCTGAGGCAAAAGAAAAATGTGTGTCCCTATCCTCCTAGACACCTGTTTATGTATATTTTAAATTAAACATTTAATTTTGAGATCATTGTAGAGTCACATGAAATTGTAAGAAATAATGCAGAGAGATCCCATGTACCCATTACCCAATTTCCCCCAGTGGTAACAATATCACAACCAGGACTTTGACATTGATGTAGTCAAGATACAAAATATTTCCATCACCACAAAGACCCCTCGTGTTACACTTTTATAGCCACACATACTCGCCTGCTGCCCCCACCCCCTCTTTAAGCTATGGCAACCACAAATAAGTTGGTCATCTTTATAATTTTGTCAGTTCAAGGCTGTTATATAAATGAAATCATATAGTCTATAATCTTTTGAGATTGGCTTTTTCCACTCAGCATAATTTTATGGAGATTCATCTAGGTGTTGTGTGTATCAATAGTTGAGGAGTAGTATTTCATGATATAGTTATACCACAGTTTATTTAACCATGCAACCGTTAAAGGACCGATGGTTGTTTCCAGTTTTGACTATTAAAAGCTGTACATGTTTGTACGAACATGCATGTACATGTTTTTGTGTGACCATAGGTCTTCATTTTTCTGGGATAAATAAATACACAGTTGCTGGGTCACGTGATGGTTACATGTTTAGCGTTTAAAGAAACTGCCAAACTGTTTTCCAGAGAGGCTGTACCATTTTACATTTACATCGGTGTAAATGTGTGAGTGGTCCAGTTTCTCTGTCTCTTCACCAGCATTTCATATTGTGACTATTTTTTATTTTAGCTATTCTGATAGATGCATAGTGACATTTCATTGTGGTTTTAAGTTGCATGTCTCTTATGGCTAATTGCTATTGAAAATCTTTTCATGTTTCCATTTGCCATCTGTATATGCTCTTAGATGAAATGTCTATTCACATCTCTTGTCCATTTTCTAATTGGATTATTTGTAGTTTTACTGTTGAGTTTTAAAAGTTTGTTATATCTTCTAGATACTAGTCCTTTGTCAGGTATGTGGTTTGCAAATATTTTCTCCCGGTCTGTAGCTTTTCTTGACAATCTCTTAATGTCTTTTTCAGAGCAAAAGTTTAATTTTGATAAAGTGCAATTTATCAATATTTTCTTTTGTTTATGCTTTTGATGTCAAGTCTAAGAATGCTTTGCTTAGTACTAGATTGTGAAGATTTTCTCCTATTTTTCTTCCTAAAAGTTTTATAATTTTGTATTTTTAAAAGCCTGTGACCCATTTTTAGTTAATTTTTGTATAAAGTGTGAGACTTAGATCAAAGCTGGGTTTGGTTTTTTTTCCTATAGATATCCACTTGCTCCAGCAGCATTTGTTGAAAAGATTATCTTTCCTCCATTGACTTACTTTTGTACCTTTGTCAGAAATCAGTTGGGCGTATTTGTGTGGTCTATTTCTGGATTCTCTATTCTTTCTATTGATCCATCTCTTTGCAATACCACACAGACTTGATTACTTAGGTATATCATAAATCTAAAATCAGGAAGGCTGATTCTTTTCACTTTGTTCTTTTTTCTCAATATTGTTGTAGTGACTCTAATGTTTTTGCCTTTCCATATAAATTTTAGAATAATCTTGTCTATATCTACAAATACTCTTGCTGGGATTTTGATAGGAATTGTGTTAAACCTGAATACCAATTAAGAGACAATTGACATTTTTACTGTGTTGTCTTCAAATACTTGAATATGGTATGTCCCTTTTTGTTTGTTTGTTTGTTTTTCTTCTTTTGTTTTTCTTTTTTTTCCTTTTTATTAGTATGTCCCTTTTTTTAGGTACGCCTTTTTAAATTTATTTCATCAGTATTTTGTAGTTTTGGGTAAACAAGTCCTGTACAAGTTTTGAGAGATTTATACCTAAGTGGTTCATATTTTTTGAGTGATTATAAATGGTATTATATTTTTAATTTTACTATTCTTGTGTTTATTGGTAGTATATAGAAACACAATCGCTTTTTATATGTTTATCTTGTATGTTATGACTTTGCTGAACTCATTTGTTAATTCTAGGAGTGTTTGGTAGATTCCTTGGGATTTTCTACACAGACAATCGTATCATCTACCAATTGGGGAAGTTTTATTTCTTCTTTTCTGATCTGTATGCCTTTTAGTTCCTTTCTTGCCTCATTGCACTGACTAGAACTTCCTGCACAATGTTGAATAAGAGTGGCGACATTGGACATCCTTGCCTTGTTTCTGATCTTAAAGGAAAACATTCAGCCCTTCACCATTAAGTATAATGTTAGCTATAGGTTTCTATAGATGATCTCTATTAAGTTGACAATGTTCTCCCTGTATTCTAGTTTTCGGGGAGCCTTTTTAAATCATGAATGGGTGTTGAATTTTGTCAGATGTTTTTCGACACTGATTGACATGTTCATGTGATTTTTTTCCTTTTTAGCCTGTTAATATGGTGGGCTACATTAATAATTTTCAAATATTGGGCCAGACTTGTACCTCTGGAATAAATCCCACTTAGTCATTGTGTACAACTTTTTATATATTGCTGAATTCCATTTGTTAACATTGTATTAAGAATTTTTCTGTCTATATTCATGAGGGATATTGGTATGTAGTTGTCTTTTTCCTTTTTTCTTTTTTCTTTTTGGTACTGCCTTAGTCTAATATGGTATCAGGGTAAACATTATCTTCATAAATCAATTGGGAAGTGTTCCCTCCTCTTCTATTTTCTGGAAGAGAATTGGTATTAAACCTTTTTTTACACATTTCTTGGAATTCTCCAGTAAAGCCATCTGGGCCTGGAGATTTCTTTTTGGGGAGTTTAAACAAAAATTACAGCTCTGCACTAGACCTCCACTGATACCATCATGGCTGGAAAGAATAGGAGTGCCTCCTTACTGCTCCCAGGTGGTCTCCAATGACATCACAAGTGTGTCTGTGGGGGATGGCCTCCTTAAGGGTGGGCAGTGCTGAAAGTTGTGACTCTCCTCACTAGGCCCCTTCTGACACCATCCCTGGTCGGTGAGAAGAGCTACTCTTTTTTTTTTTTTTTAAAGATTTTTTTTGGGAAATTGGGGGGATGGGAACGTGCTGGGGAATTGGGGAAAGGGGAACAGACAAGTTGCTGTCGTTTTGTTCTTCAGTCTAGTTCTGGAGGACGTTGCTTCACTGGCCCAAGTTGGCACCATCATTGCGCTCTTCTCTGGCGAGGCAGATCAGTCGCCGGCTTCTGGACGGCCGCTCACTGCGGCTGCTGGCCGCTCACGCTGGCTGCTGGCCACACACGGTAGCCCATGGCAATCCACTGCCACAGGGACTGCAGCCCACGCCGTCGCCGGCGACTCATGGCAGCCCAGCTCCAGGTTGAGCTGTTGTTCAGCATCTTAGCTGTGGAGGGCAGTGTCACTGGCCCTCATATGTGGGATCCGAACCGGGGCCCTCTGGCGTCCCAAGCCAGTTCTTAACCATCGCGTCACTCGGCCGGCCCGGGAAGAGCTACTCTTTACTGCTGAGTTGGAGGGTAGAAGTTCTGGCTCCCAGTTCAGCCTTGCTGGCCTGGGCAGGGGGACAGTTTTCTTGGTGGGGTTTGGCTGGAGAAGAGTGGTTATTGTCTAAAAGTTTTCCATCTTGCTAGGCTGCCCCTTCCCTGGTCCTTGGCTGAAAAGAACAAACTTTTGTTGGGGCTTTTATTGTCTGTGCCCATCGGTATTTCAGGGCTTCTGGCTCCTTCAGCTCCAAGTCTGGGCCAGTTAACCCACCACTTGTGGTTCCTTGGGTCCTGAGGTCTGCAGTCAGTCTTCCTCTCTACTTTTCAGACTCTCCTTATGTTTGTTTTTATATAAGGTCCAGGCATTTTTAGTTGTACTTATAGTAGGACTAGGAAAAAGTACATTTATTCCATCTTCTTGGAAGTGGGAGCTCTATCTAGTTTTCTAAATGGTGATTTCCCGCCCCCCCCCCACACACACACTGCCCCAGAACATTAAAGTAGTTGAAAAATATTTAAAAATTTAAAAGTAGGCATATTAAAACTCACAGCATTATTTTAGTTTTAAATAAATTACTTACACCAAAAACATAATTTATTATAACTTTACTTCCCTGGTTTGAATGGAAGCAAATTTATCAAAACAATTTTCCCCAAATCTACCTTAGAAAAAAAATTGACCATTAAAAAATACACTAAACATGTATATAGGGCCTTTATTGCCTTACTTACATATTACTTTGCCTCAGACTACAATACAGCAGGGCATGGCTCTGTTGGATTCTGTTTTTATTTAAAACTTTGATACTTTGTTCATTATGGGTATTTTTGCATTGGTTTTGATTTTTTAAAAAAAACATTACATTAACTATTTACCTTGATGACTGAGGTGTTTTTGTATTGCCTTAGGTTTTGCATCTGAGATGATAGTCCTACACTGAGCTAGGCAATGCTTTTCGTTTGGGGAAAATGGTGGGAGGGCTCCAGATCTCCTTCACAGTTTATATCTTTATCTCAAAGGGGCAGACTAACTCAGACTTAGAAAAAGAACAGCTGAGGAGGCAAGCATGAGTCTCCCTAGATGTGAAGGTTTTCCTGGGATAGGATGCTTTATAAATAGGAAGTAAGACCTGCAGAAATGAGGGCTTTTCAACTGAGCCCCATAAGGGCACAGGCTGTCCTATACATACGGGACATTCTACTGGGGTGGGACCTCTGCTCTCCCACTCCCATCCACCTGCAAAAGAGAAGGTCCCAGAACCTGCATACCACTAGGACAGGAAGAGGACGAGCTTCCAAGGCTCTGGGGTCTGGTCTAATAGTGGCCTTTTTCTCATCCAATTCTTGTAACATGGGGTAGTAAGTGTAGCTATCACCTCATTTTATAGATGAAGCAGCTTGGGCTGCCCCTTGGGAAGAGAGGCTGTTTGTTGCCATCCAATTCTCTGCCATCCTGTCTTACCCTTCACTCTGTGCCCCCTCCTGTGCCAGCTCTGGGCACACACTCAGGAATTCCTGAAACATCTTTTTGCTGCCTGGGCTGTAGGCTCAGCCGCCCAAGAGCAGCTTGATGTCACCCTCTTTCCCTGCCCTGCTTGAACATAATGTCCTTCCTTGGCCTTCCTACCCAGCCAGCCTTCTGCCCCTGCTATATTTAGGACTTTCCATGGTCCTTACCACCAAAGCATTCACCCTTTCTCAGCACCGGAAGAGGGGCAAATCAGAGATCTTTATGAACTTATGATGGATGGAGAGAGCTTTTCTCTAAGTACTTCCTGTGTCCATGCTCTCTCCTAGGTCTTTCCCACCCTACTCAGGTTTTGGGTGAAATGCTCAGGTTATTAGAACACCATGACTGGCTGGGGCCAGGCCTGGGAGGCTTGCTAAAGCCTACTGGCCTCTAGTGGTGAATAGTTATTAGTCAATCATTCATCAGCTTCCCAACCTTTTTACCCCAAACAAAAAAATTTTTTTTTATAATTATTTTTACTCTTCATGAAGCCCATATTTCTAAGGTTTTACCTCCCTTCCAAATAAACCTTCATTAAGTTATTATTACTTTCCTAGTTTTTAGGGAGTCAAAGATTCATCTAACACTTCTGATCAGCATAAAATAACCAGTAGCTATGCTAAAAGCAAAGAAACTTGATGCTTCATTTTCTGTAAAACTCCATGCATGGTTTATAATGATGACAATAGTCTCCAAGGTCCCTCAGACAATGGAAAAGACATTAGGATCATGTTGTCCAGCCCCCTCATTTTTAAGGCAAGAGATCTTGCTCAGAGCTAGTAAGTTCATGATACAAGGTTATATACAGTAAAACTTCTTTGGGCAGTGATGCACTGGTTTTCTGGTGAGGGCATTTAGAGCTGGGGCCAGGGAGGAGTGATGGGTGGACGGGGGACCCTGCTGCAGGCCCAGTAGAGGTCTGGGCTGTGCCTGACTTCCCAGGCCTGCTGTGCCCTGGGTCAGGTTCCAGGGAACTGGGCTGCAGAGCCGTGATGTTCCAGCACCCCAGCCTGCAGGGGTGCTGCCTTCTCCCATCCCAGATTAAGGACTGAATGCCACTCTCCTCCACATGGGGTGCATTTTTCTCTTAAAGCCAAAGGAGGCATTTTCTTCTCTTAATCTGAGGTTTTGGCATTGTGTTCTCTCTGCCTGCCTGCCTACTGGTCTCTCAATCTGGATTCCTAATCTACCTTGGGTGTCATAGATTTGGTAGTTACTTTACCAGGGGGGAGAATGAGAATCCCAACTTTCTGCAAGTGACACATGTCTGGGTCCCAGGTGTATCAATGCAGGATTCCCCAGGCTCTTCTAACAGGCCCTGATTCTCAGGTGACCCGGCGCTTTGGGATCCCGGGGCTGAAGAAAACCATGGAATGGTTTGGCTACTACGGAGGCCCCTGCCGGGCCCCCTTGCAGGAGCTGAGCCCCGCTGAGGAGGAGGCACTGCGCCTGGCTTTCACCAATAATGGCTGGCTCTGAGGGCAAGGAGGGGGCCTGCCCGGCCTGAGCCCATCTCAGCTCGCGTCTTGCACCTGCAGCCTGAAGAGAAATATGAGTAACGAGGGTTCGCGGCTCCTTTTCCTATTCCAGTCCTCCAGGTGCCTCTTACCAGGCACTATTTTCACGGTCCCATGGCCTCTAGATTTGTATCCTAAACTCTGGGTCACTAGAGACCTTCAGTCTGTGAAGGATCAATTGCTTACTTGTGTCTACTGTGTTTTCCTATGCCCCAACACAAGGGAGCCAGGAGCCAGAGGCAAAGGGCAGGGGGCAGCTGGGCACAGGAAGGCTACGTGTTTGAAGGGAGGACTACTCAGAGTTGAGTCTAGCACAGTGCAGCGGGAAGCCAGGGCTACTCTAAGAACCCAAGTTCTGACTCCTTCCAGAGGACCTGGTAGGTTAGGAAACCTGATCAGAAAAATGTCTCTGGTCTTTGAAAGGCTCCCCGAGATGCATTCCAGCCACAATGCCCTTTCCTAAATCCGTTTTGATTCATCTCATATTCTTGTCTCTAGTCTTGATCTCAACCATCCAGTGCATAGACAACCCAGAATTGGTAAATAATGACACCTGGTGGATAAATGTGACATTCTAGAAGACTATTGTAGTCAACCTGGGTCTGAAACATTAGGGGAGGGGGCACTTTGTTTTTATTGTTAAAAATACTTTGTTATTGCAATAAAGTTTAGTAAGTTTAACTAGTGTGTCTGTGTACAGATTGACACTCCACTGCTATGCAGATCTTAGGTTTCCTGCCCGGAAGTCAAGAACCTACCTAGAGGCAATTTAGTTCTCAAAGTCTGCTTTTTCCATACTCTGAGCAAACACAGGCATTAAATTAGTGGCAGCCTAGGGAAAGGCTTATTGAAATTTTAAACGGGAGAGGTAAGGGGCAAAAAGGTTCAACTGACATTTAGAAACACTTAGCACATTAATCAAAAAGGCTGCTTTCTCTAAAATGTTTAACCTTATTCAGTGGTATCTGACAAGTAGCAGAAAACCTGAGATGAATTTTTAAAAAAATTACTCTGGTAAGAAAGAAAGGTAAACAGATTTCTTGTTTAAGGCAAAAGCTAGAGGAGAGAATATAAAAAGTATCATACATCTTCAACTGGAACTGGGCATCAGGCTGGCACTGAAGTTCGGCACGTAGCACCTGGACTTCTCTCACAGTCAACTTCTAGAGGCTCTGAGTGTAGAGAAGAACCAGGTTTGGGGCTGGGGCAAAAATCAGGGTAGGGAGGCAGGCTAGGGTACTGGTCAAGTGCTCAGCCCCTGGCTTACACAGGCCTGGGCTGAAGTTCTTGGATCTGCCCCTTAGTGTTTATAGGACCTTGGGAAACTACTTAACTGCCCTGAGCCTCATCTGTAACACGGGAATAGTAATAGCACCTTTCTCCCTGGGCTGTAGAACATCAGGCCTGTAAAAGGGTTAGTGTTCAAGGGAACGTGCAGAGGAAAGGAAACCCAGGCAGCAGTGACTTGCCTAAGGTAACCCGGCAGGTGTGACAGTTATTGGTGTGCAGACTTGGGCACTCTGACGCTTAGGATGAGGGCAGTACAGTGGAAAGTGCTTTGGAATCAGAAAGACCGGGATACAAATCCCACTCAGCTCTGCCACTTACTAGTTTGCACAACCTGAGCCTGTCTGATTTCTATTTTTAAATGCTCCTTCCCTGGGCCGGCTGAGTGGCTCAGTTGGTTAAGAGCTCGCTCAAGAGTTTGAGCTCTGAGCAACAGCGGTTCGAGTCAGCTCGAGCTGAGCAGCCGCGGAGCTGCCAACAGGTGGCGGGATGGCTCAGCTAAAAAAAAAAAAAAAAAAAGAGCATAAATGCTCCTTCCCTGCAGAGGTTTTGAGAATTAGATGTTACGTAGTAAAGTGTGCAGGGTCAGTTCCAAGCCCCCAACTGTGATTAACTTTTAGAAACAGCAAACAGGTTAATATTCAGGAGGACAGAGCAAGAAAGTCAAGAAAACTAAGTGTAGGCAGTCCTGGTGATTTGTTTATTCCTCATAAACACTTGTTTCTACAGTACAATTCAGAGAATAAATAGAGGCACACGGCTATAATTTCCACCACAATCTGCTGTTGAGACATTCAGTGTGAAGATAGGGACTGGGGCTGTGGTGGGGTGGGGCGTGTTTGGGTCACAGGGCAACTGGAGGGCCTCCATGGTAACTGGGCAGGGATCCTATCAGTCAAGATGTGATCCCCAGGCCTGCTGGCCAAGGCTCATGGTGGGAGAATTACAGTGAACCAAATGCAAGGAGCCAAATGCTCTTTTAGTTCACCATGATCCTAGGATGGGTCCAATTCTACATAAACTACTGGCCTACTGGGAAGGAGCTGTGTCAGCGCTAAGGATACAGTTCCCTCCGTGGTAGGGCCTGAAGTGGCCCAGAGACGTCTGCCTTTTGCCCTGGAGTAAGTTATTAAGTTATTAAGTAAGTTGTAAGATGACTGTTTACATCAGTTTCTTTCTTGACTATCCCATAAAGGGATCCCGTCTCATACCTAAGGAAGGAGAGAGGCACAAATGGGGAGTATCTGCTGGAACTCAGGTGAGGAAGACAGCTTGTAAAGTTAAGGAGAGGGAAACGGCGCTTTTCCAGAATCCTTCCCAGGGGGAATAAGCAGACACAGATACTAGTCTGGTCAGACACAGTGGAGCCTGGAGCCATACTGCCAACCAGCGAATGAGGGGGTAACATACAGAAAAGCTCTGGCCTTGGCTTTCACAGGCCTGCTGTCCTAGCTAAGCCACCCCTATCTTTTTCCTTGTTTCTCCAGGGTAGCACACAGCACTGGCCCTAATTTGAAGCTAGGATCACCTGCCCCAAAGATAGGCAGAATGTAGAGGTTCTGTATCACCTGGCAGAAAATGAAGTCGCGGGTGGCGCAGGTCTGCATTGGGAAACCCAGGTGTTAGGGACAGAGAGTACCAAGAAGTGAGATGAGGGAAAGACACGCGGTAACCACTGCTGCCGGGCCTGCGGGCCAGAGTTCTTGGAGCTTCCCTGTGATCCCTGACTGGCAGGGGATGGGACACAGCAGCAGGCTTCTGCTCCAAGGTCATTCTGCTCTCCTCTCGCATCTGATTCATTTGTTCACCCCGAGTGAATAGTGGGGCATCTGCTTTACCAATACTTGTCACCCCATCAGGCAGCGAGACTTCTGGCTGACTTGGAGGCACTCTGGGCCCGCTGAACGACGGCGGAACACTTCTCACGCCGCAGCAGCTTGTTGTTCTCAAACAGACCTTCGTTGCGGGGTATTCCGTGAGAACCGTCAGGGAAAGTCAGCAGGCCTTTGAGGGGGACAGAGGAAATATGGGAGTGACAATGGCATGAATGACTCAGAGATCAGCTTGACAGGTAGCGGTCAAGGAAGAGAAAAACTCGCAGCCCTCCTCAGGAGCACTCTGTCGGCCTTTTCAATACACAGGGGTCAGGGCAGCATCACTATGGATTGCTGGACATCCACAGAGGATTGAAGCTAACAAGGTGTACTTTCACCCGTATTATGCTCGCCTAAGTAACCCATCCTGCTGGGCTGCAACTTACCAAAACCATCTACTCTGCCATTTTTAAATTCCCCCTCAAAGGTCATGTTGTCATGTCGAATGAAGACTCCCGCGCCATTAAACTTGCCCTGGGCAAACTCCCCCTCATACCTGCAGAAACACAAGATGTTAGCCTTTAAGCGGGTTGTGAGCTGTCTAGGTTAAATAAGTCAAGCAGCTACTGACACGTTATTTACTAATGTCAAAGAGCAAAGCTGATTCCACGTATCTCAGCGCTCCACCCACCCCACTCCGCAGAGAGGGGTCAGAGAGTATCTATGATAAGAGTCCCTAATCTCAAGGAAACAACAGAACGGCGGTAGGGTGGAAGGTCACTCACCTCTTGCCATTTCAAATTTCAGATCTATTTATAAAGTAACCAATAAAAGAACTAATGCTTACTCATGTCCTGTTTTCAGAGGGCCCGGGACAAGCTCAGGTTTGACCAGATATTTACCGCTGTCGTCTTTAGATCAGAATCTCCTTAGCTTAAGGCTGAGAAAGGAATGAGCCAGTACCTACCTTGAGCCATCTGAGAAGGTCAGTACCCCAAAGCCATTAAAGAGCCCATTCTCAAAATGACCCAGGTAGGTGCCACCATCTGCAAACATCAGTTGACCAAAACCATGTCTGCGGCCTGGGCAAAGAGAAGGACAGGTATCAGTTTGGGAAGGGGCAGCTTAAGAGTCCCCTCTCACTGTCTAATGTCCCTTGCCTCCCATCACCCCACCCACAAAGAAGAGAAACAATGACATTAGCAGGGCACAGGACTATTACCCAGAGATAGGCACCAGGAAAACCTGGCTCCTGGGGCCTTCCCAACTTAAGTCACAACATCAGATTTGGAGCAGGTCTCTCTGAGTATGAAAGATAAGAGAGCTCTTAAAAGTAGCACATGCTTCCTTTATTATGTGCAGCCATTCTTCTAAGCATTTTGTATATATCATCTTACTTAATCCTCACAGCAGCCTTATGAGGTAGGACAGCACTATTATTATTCCCATTTAACAGATGCAGAAACCAAGGCATGTAAAAAGCTAAAGAACTTAAGATCCCAGAGCAATTAAATGGTAGAGCAAGAATGTAAACGCAGCCTGACCAGAGAGCCCTCAACATTTAACTCCATTGTCACTCTGAGAAAACTAAAAGTATACCACTTAGCACCATGAAGCTACTGTGCACACCTAACCGCCAGACTCGCAACACTGGTTTGAGCTCTTACACCAGCAGGGCTAAGTTTATGCACTGAACTGAGCAGAAAGCAGAGCAAGGTGCTGAAGCAGCGCTAGTGCTCTTCAAACAGAGGAGAGGTGTTCTTTGGTGGACAGACGCCCCAGCAGCGCTTCAGGAGTTCTCGCCTCTAAAGGTCATATTATCGGGGACAGCAGGAGTTTGGGAGACAGGAGAAAAGGCCGAGGATGTATGGAGGCAAGGGCACATCGCATCGCACGATTTCTCCTCTCAAGGCTCAGGAACTCATCAGCTGCAGGATCCACCGTGAAAAGAATGAGGCACCTGTCTGGAAGCAGTGTGAACTGCTCTTCACTGGCACGACTGTGAAGTCGAGTCTCATTGGGGAAGTTCCTGGCTCGCTAGGACTGGACGGACCCACGGGACTTTTAAATGGCCAGACTGTTTCCAAATGGAACACCATTAAACTACTTTCTGTATAGTTTCAGGCTCTGAAGAATTTTACCATTCCTATGAATAGATACTTCCAAATATAATGAACTGTCACAGGAAATTCGAGGCAACGAATGTCATTTGCTCTTGATTGTCTGCCCTAATTAACTTCTTAAGAGTCACTGGAATCAAGTCATTGCAATGAATTCTGTACTTTCTGGTTTATGGGCACTAAAAATAATTCATTTTCCTCTGCGGAGTACATGAGCATTTAGAAAAACAATTCCCAAATAATACCAGTAAAGGATAAAAGGGTTATAACACTTTACACTTAGAAGTGGAAAGATTTAACTTACTTCTGGAGGTTGGATTAACAATAGTATTTTCTAATTTCTTTATTGAATTCCTAAAATCGAATAAAGGAAGGCACTATTCAGATTAAATCTTGGCGTTGAAGACTCATAAAGTTGGCTTACATATCCTGAGGTATTTGTCCTTTGGTCAAATAGTGTCACCACTGGATACACCCCCCGGGTCCTCTTACCCTCCTTCCACTCGCCACGATACTCCTCCCCACTGGAGTAGGTGAAGGAACCTTTTGTCAGGGTCATGGTGACAGCTTACAGAAGGATGAAAACTGTAGGGCACAAGCAGAAGAGAACCAGCGTCCCAGCGCGGCTGGAGGAAAGGCCTGCTAAGCAACGGTGTAGATACATTGTAAAGGCTACCAGCCAAATACGTGTACACTCCCTGGAGTACATTCAACAAAGCTACCCACCTCTCCAACCACCCTACCACCACCACCTCTGCCCAAGCAGTCTTATCCTTCTACGTGGCTTTCAGGTTTTCAGCCAAGTCCAACTTTCTGTGACCTGGGATGGAAATTTAGGATTAATCTACAAATATTTGCTTGATACCTACTATATACACCTAGTCAATATGTAAAATATATAATCTCTTTCCTCAATGAGTTTATAATCTAGTTGATAAGACTATCAATCAAAACACTGAATAATACGAGAGATAATATAATTAAGTGTCAAAGTGGATGGCAGACATTAACTAAGACAAGGGGTGGGCAGGATTTAAAATAAACAGTGAAGAACACTGAGAAAACATGGGGAATGGAAGCACGAAGAGCAGCACAAACATGGGATGTTCCGTGGGAATTAGAAGCTGGGTCTTGCTCGAGTTGAAGGCATATTTAGGGAGTAACAGGAAATAAATTTGTCGAGCTACAATCAGCCTAAATCTTAAATCTGAAAAGAACCTCTCAGATTTAATCCAAACTCCCTCATTTTATAGATGGAGAAACAGAAGCTAGGAGAGTTAAAAGCTATTCGGTGACTGAGCTAAAACGAGTGCCCAGGCCACCCCTGATTGCTAGTTCCTTTTCCCCTGTACTACACGCTCTGCTTCTAGGGTCAGGCTAACTGAAAGAGAGCTAGGCAGAAAAGTTTATAGCTGATAAGGTGGGCAAAGAGGAAGCCTCTCGGGGTGTGTGAACAGGGATGTAATAAGATGAAAGCAGTTTAAGGAATATGAATGTGGCAGCAGGAAGCTGGATGGGTTGGAGCAGCCAAAGCCTACTGCTAGAGAAGCTTGTAAGGCAGGAGATATGATAATTCAGTAGATTGTGAAATGAGCACAGATTTTCTCCCTCCATCCACGCATGGCGATCCTCCCATTCAGAGGCAGCTTATTTACTCCTCCACCCATTGGGTCTGGCCGGGTTATGTAACTGCATCAGCAAAGGTGATGTAGCACAGATTTGAAAAGCATCTGTACATTGGGCTTGCCCTCTTGCTGCACTTGGACCTGTTCTGTTCCCATGTGAACAAGCCCAGGCTAGTCTCCTGGATGGTGAGGGGCCACATGGAACAGCTTTCTCAGATGTACACGGATGCCTGAGTGAGCTCAGGCAAGACCAGAAGAGCTGCCCCTCTGAGCCCAGCCCCAAATTAGTGGCCCACAGAATCAAGGATTGAAGAAATATGGTTGTTTTAAGCCACTATGTTTTGGGGTGGTGTGTTATTACCAAGCAAAAGCTAACTGATACATCCAGGTATGAGGTCATAGGCCCGAATTAGGGGGGATAACAGGGTAATGGGAGCAGAAAGAATGATTATGACAACCATATCACAGGAAAAAACCAACCAGCACCACCACCACCACCCAACAACACTGAGGAATGGCTGGGTATGGCTTCACATGAGCGGTAAAGTAATGTTTATATTCAAGGATATCCTATAAGAAGGGATTTAAGATACCCAAAATATCATTCAATATAAACAAAGACAAATAGAATCACTTGACATATTAAAAAAATGCAACCCTTATTTTCTTTTTTAAACCCCCTAGGTCTTTTTACTCACCCCTTCACCTTCTCCAGATCTAAACAATACTATGTTTTCTCACGTGACTGTGACAATGCAGTCCTAGGCCTGCACCCAAATCTACTGAGTCAGTTCTGTACGGTTAGAGCCCGGGAATCTGCAGTTTTAACAAGCACATCATTAGACTCTTACACACTGAAAAGCTTGTGGACTACTTATTAGTCCAATAAATGGAAATACTGTGTGTGACCTATAAATCACCATTGAAAGGCCCCATTATTAATAATTAACCTAGAGTTTGACCCTCAGGCACCTGACTGAGTTCCAACAGGACAAATGTACCTCTTCTTTAGAGCACTGGGGTCAGGCCTGGAGGACAATTAAAAAAAATCCCTGTGGGTCTGGTGCTAACTGCTAACTTCTTTTTTCTTCAATTCCCGGAGAAGCCCACATCACACACCATGTTAAGGGTTGTACTGGTGTCTCCATCATGAAGAATAAAAATGGGGTTCTAAAGAATAGGTTCCGCAGTACAAGAGGGATCTGGAATATTTAATACAAAAATTATGCTTTAAATGTTCAACTAAAACAAAGCGCACAGTTTTCTCCAAATTGTGGCGTTGGACAGTGCTGAGTTACTTATACTCCAGGTCAGCTAATACAACCCTCTGTAATCAACTGAGCTAGCCCCAGAGAAACTATCTGAAATACCTTTATAATAGCACTAACATTTACTGACTACTTATTGTGTGCCATAATTTAAAAAAAGATACATTATCTAATTTCATCTCACAACTTTATGAGGTGGGTATTATGGTTGTTTCTACTTTACAGATGAGGAAACTGAGGTACAGAGAAGGTAAGTGGTTAACTAAGGTCACCCAGCTAACGCATGCAGGTTAGAATCAGGACCCTGGCAGTTGGCTCCAGGGCCCACACTCTTAAACACTATCCCTATCCGTATCCCTACCCTATCCTATCCAATACTGCCTCCCAGTATACGAGGACACAAAAGTGTCTAGAACACTGCATAGCCCTGTCCATTAAATGGTTTGCTTTTCCTCCTTCAAAAAGAGACAACTAAACTCACACACTTACTGTAGTGGAAATTTCTCTAAAGTCTCAGTATTAAAATGCTACCAGTGTAATTCAGATAACATTTTTACAAGAAATTCAGCAATTTTGACTAATAAGGTAAATACTAAGCAGAGGAAAAGCAAACGACAGTTGCCACTCATCTGTTCTTTATCAAGACCCTGTGGGATATTTTAATTTTGGCCTAGGTCATAACGGTTTTCGATACAGATGTCGCATGCCCAGAAATGGTCTGATGTGAAAACAGCCTGTCCTGACCAGAGCAGGACTCAGTCATATCTTCTAGGCCTTGGCTGTCTCAGAGCTCTAGTTTCATCCAGCGATGAGGACAGATGAGTTCTGAACTCTCTGAGGTCTCACCCAAATACGAGGAACATTCATTTTGGACCCCCATAATGAAGGTCAGCTTTGTGGACGCTTTTCTAGCGATGTTTGGGAGTCACTCCCACAGGTCCATCAGGGACTGTCTCACTTTTCTAGTTACTCAGAAACGCCATATCCAGGGTCTCTAACATAGAAGATGTCCCAAGAAAAGGATCCTTTTCTTCTTAAAGCCCCTTAAAACCTCTAGGGCTGTTTTCTCAGAGAGGTGATGCTGGTACCTGGTGTGCCATCTCTGTCCCATCAATGTTCCACAAGGTCAGCATCCAATTTCAGGTGCACAAGCCTCTTATCATCAGCCCAGCATCAGAGTGTGCCTGGGGTAGAGGTCAGCATGACTCCATTGCAAATACAACATTAATGAGGGAGAGCAAAACAGTTTTCCATCAAAACTGCAGAGGAAAACTCTTTCCAGTCCAGACAGGCACTGTGATAGCTCGAGGCCATCTTCAGCTCTTCCCGGAACAAATGAAGTCAGAGAACTAAAAATCAGCTCATGGTACAAACCTGGACTATCTCATTCCTTCAAAACAAATCAGTCTGAAAGGTTGTATCTTCTACTAAATCTTATGACTAAAACAGCCATTCCAAAACATACACATAAAATCGCTATTTATACAGAAAGATGGTAAGATAAGGCATTTCCTTTAAATGTTAGACAGCAGTGAGCTTGTCTTCACTCAAAGCTTTGGAAGGAGTTGCAGTGCAATGTGAGGAGTCAGACTGACTATACAGGGACTCAGAGGGAGCAGCCTCTTGTTTACTTTTTCTCAAGGCCACATGAGACTCCCCAACAGCGCCATCCCACCTTGTTTCAGAAGGACCATATAAGGTCCCTGAAAGAACGGGAACAGTGTTTCTCCAGTTTGAGGATTATCTATGGAGAAAGTACTAGCCTGTCCTTCAAGTTGTAAACCTTGCCATTCTTTTGGTATGGAGCTGGCTCTTGGGAAATACACCCCGTTAAAAAAAAACAAAAACAAAAACCAGACCCAAAATGGAGTCACCTGTGGTAAGCCCCACCAATACTTAATACCTTACTTAACTGCAGTTTCAGCTTATCCCAGGGGTGGAATTTTACACCAACCTGTCTACAATTTCCTGGTCAGCACTGGTGATGTAATCTGCCAGCTAAGACCCCTGACTTTCTCCTAAGGGAACGTAAACTTGCCTGAAATAATAATCCACTCTCTTAACTTCCTTGTCCCACATTCTTTCTGCCTATAGAAACCTTTCAGTTTGTACAACTCTTTGGGAGTACCCTTCTGATTTTACTAGATGGGATGCTGCCCGATTCAGGAATCATTCATAAAGCCAATTAGATCTTTAAATTTACTCGGTTGAATTTTTGTTCTTAAACAACCCTAAGTATTTCAAGGAAGCCAATGAAACCTGAAAGATTATCTTCTTATAACCAAATGTGACAGATTGTATTTTCTAAAGATGTTTGCAATCATATCTCCTGTCCTACACATTCTTCTACAATTAGACCCTGCCATTGCCCCACCAAAAGTGGATTCTAACTCCTCTCCTTTGAATCTGTGTATGCTTATAATTGCTTTTACCAGTAGAACATGATGGAAGCGATGGTGTGTTCTGAAGTTAGATCATAAAAGGTGATGTAACTTGCACCTTGCTCGCTGGTACACTTATGCTGGGAGACCTGAGCCACCACATAAGTCTGACTCCCCTGAGGCTACCAAGCTGTGAGGGAGCCAAGCCACATAGACAGCCACATTTGTTGGTGAGTCAGTTGGCAGTTCTCATCTTTGAATCATCTTAGCCCAGGCACCAGGTGTGAGCAAAGGAGCTTTCAGATGATTCCAGCCATCTCCCCTCCACCCCAGCCATTAAGCCTGCATCCCATCTGAGGTATCTGTGAGCATCATATGGTTATTTTAAGCAGATAAGTTTGGGGTAATTTGTTATACAGCAAGAGGAGCTGGGATATCATCTCTCAACCTAACCCTGCCACCATCCTCGCCTATTTGTTTTCAAAAGTCCATACTGTACTATTACAAATTTCCATTCCTTTTTGATCTAGGGAGATATAGCAAACTCCCTTCAAAGGTTGCCTGTCAAAGTGATGTCCATTCTCAAGAATACAATCAAAAGTGCTAATTAAAGGGAACACATGTCGACTCCATGAGGTTCAAGCGATGGTTGAACGCATTTGACTAGAAGCTTCTACCTATGTCCAAATAATGGATATTGTCACTGCCTGGGATAGTGTCAGGATTTTCATTTATGACTTCTGTAATTAGCTATGCTAATTTATGGTCAGCTGCATAGCCACTGACCCAGAAAGAAATTTCACCAGTTATCATGGTCATTGAGACAAATCTAGTTTAAAAAGTATAGTCAGTGCTGATGAAGATTAAAAACCCACTACTTTAGCAAATCAGTATGTGTATCAGTTATTCAAAAAAATCTTTTTAAAGAAAATAGATGGCCTGTGAGTTTAGGCTTCAGCTATACATATGGAATCTAGTCACGAAGTCAAGATAGTTTATGCTTCTTCTAAACAGATACCCAGCCTTCTGCTCTCTTGCCGGACGGGTTACAAAGGATCAATCCAAACACATATCTAAAAGGAAATTAGTATTTTGTCAGTATTTTGTCCGTGTACACTAATATACTATTAGTCTTCACAACAGACTATATCCCTGCTATTTTTCTTTTCTCCTGACCCAGACATTTCCAAATAGAAGTTGGAGACAGGAATGATAACTTTTGTTTCCATTCCGTTTGTCTTTTTTTTAAACTTTAGAAATCCAACTTGTTAAAAGAATACTTATGCATTCATAGTAACCTGTGTCTAAATTCAGGATTTAAAAAAACTAACATAAAGGGGAATAAATATTCAGTTTAAGAATATTGTTTGGAGGCAGCCACCTTAATTACCCAAATATGCCTTCAACACTGTTCCTCCATCCCCCACCCATCCCGAAGTATAACAGTCTTGCCAAAGTTCCTTTAGTTATAAAGAAAGCAGTTCTCAGGCTTTCAGAATCTTAAAGAGAAGAAAATGAAGGCTTTGATGAACAAAGATTAGACTTGTAAGAAACCCAGAACAAAAATTCAAAAGTTCTTTTTAAAGTGTTTTACATGAGCTTGAAATAACTGTTTTTATTATAAGTCTGTATGTCTCTTTTACTGTCGGGTAAGTCTCCCTTCTACTAAAAAAGTAAACAAATGTATCACTACTAGATAAAGTTCTTATTTATGAAGACTATGTGTGGGACGGTTAGATTGAAGAAACTGGGAAGAAAATGCTGACACCAGAAAGAAAGTAAAAAAATAAAAATAAAAAGACTTGGTAGTAATGGGGACTGCTAGGATTCTATTCTAGTTCTTGGTTAAGGAAAATGCCTGGGCCATGTTCTAATATAGCCGAGTTACTCCTGCGGATACCTAAGCACTTTGGTGATGCTACTACCATGCAGGGATGCTATAATACCATCAACTAACTGAGGCATCCCATTCCCCAAGACTTGATGTGTGGGACATCTCTCCACTGGAGTGTGAGAGAGGCGGGCCCAGAGCAAACAAAGCCCTAGACGGCAACAAGGCAATACTTTGTGGTCGACCTCCCCTTTCCTTCAACCACTCGTTCGTGCTTTCCAGCACTGCTCCTTTCCTCTACCCCGGGTTTGCTTTCCCTCCCGGGCCGGATCGTCTGCTCGCGTAGGTCTGCCATCCGCTAATGACGCAGCCCCCACCCACCCCGCTCGCTAACCCTGGTGCCGCGGGCTCTCCTGGGTTTCGGCACCCAGCGGTGGAGACGGAAGGCCCTGGTTTGGGACTTCGGGGCAGCCGCCCTTCGGTCAGAGCGTCAAGCATGGAGCCGCGCTCCCCAGCCCATGTCATCTCGCGCTGGGCTCCTCAGTCCCTTCCTCACCGATCACGTTGTCCCGGTCCCCTCCCACCCGCACTGCCAGCCAACCTGGGCTCCGCCTTTCGGGATAACCGTCACGCCCCGACCCGGGGCTCAAGCGGCCGGGACCTCCGCTCCGCGGGGTTCGCCCCTGCCACCTGCCTCTCCGCCACCTGCACCAGTGCCTGCCCCACTTGATGCCGCCATCCCGGGTAGCCGCACTGGGCACAATTCCCGCTGCCCATTGGCTGTTACCTAGGCAACCGGGAGCAACGCCATTCTCCATTGGCTCAGCCGGGGTCGGCGCCATCTTTATGCGGGGCGAAGGGCGCTCTCGTGCAAATATCCGACAGAGGGGTGGGGCTGAACTCCGGATCTCACCTTGGCAATCCTGATAAGAGAACTCAGGTCTCGCCTACCCAGGGAAAGCCTAGTCGAAATGTGAAAAACAAACTGAACCGAACCAAATCAGCGTCAGACACGACAGTGACCACCAACTCAAGTGGCTTCGATCCTGCGCGGATCTCCATAGTTAAATGGCCCCGCCTTCGGAGTTTAAGGACATATCCTAAACACGGCTTTTGAGGTGTAGCTTTGTAAATTGCAACGCGTTGGACAGGGCAACTGTAGTTTAATGAGTGTCAACTCTGTGCCAGCACTGTGATATCATGACACGTTTGCATTCATTGTAGGGATTTGTGTTGTCGGTGTCATTACCCAGGTCCTTTGTGTTTAAAATGCCGTGCCAAGATTGGAGCAAATCCTCCAAAATACCACATACGCCAATCCGTGTATCCATTTGTTTATTTTCTGAACAATGGGAATGCAGCATGATGCTAGGTTCTGCCAGTCTAGAAAAGACATGATCACTGCCCTCATGGGACTTACTGCCCAAGTGTGGAGAAGAAAATATTCATGCACGAGGAAAAATCCAAGACTATATTTAATTGTTAGGAGGAAGCAAACGCATGAAGAGAGTAAGCAAATTGCTTCTCTGAAGTGAGATTTTTTCCTCATCTGTACGATAGAAAATTATAACAATGATGATGATAAAGGCTGCCCAGGACTTGTGTGAGAATACAATGTCAAATACTCAGTACTATGTCTTAGAAATTGTAAGTACTCAATAAACAGTTTTAAATTGTTTTAAAAGACTTGGATTCTGTGTTCAAATCCCGTCTCTGCCACCAACTGGGTGTGGCTTCAAGCAAGTTATTAAGCTCACTAGCCTGTAAAATAAGATTGGTCTAGAAGACCTATAAGATTCAATCCAGCTCTAACACTCAATGGTTAAACATGCTAAAACTGTGTGGTATTGACTATTGATATAATTACAGCAGTTGAGAGGATGGAATGTTAAGAAAACAGACTGGAGAATGTGTATTAGAAAATAGGAAGAAATAAAGTTGTCAAATTATGGAGAAACCTGAAAAATTAGAGAGAAGGTACGGTTTCTTGAATAGGCAAATTAATAGAAAAAGAAAGCAGAATAGAGGTTACCAAGAGCTAGGGGAAGATGGAGTTATTGTTTAATGGGTACAGAGTTTTTGTTGTCTTGATGAAAAAGTTTTCGGTGGAGACAGTGGTGATGGTTACACAACATTGTGAATGTATTTAATGTTACTGAATTGTACACTTACGAATGGTTAAAATGATAAATATTATGTACATTTTACCACAATAAAAATGTAGTTTCTTGACCAGAGCAGTGACACAATGAAACCAGTGTTTTAATAAAATTAATCTGGCAGTGATACACAGAGATGATCAAAGAGAAATTGGAAGCAGAAAACAAATTTAGAAGCTATTATAATAATGTAAGATATTCTGGAATGTGGCATCAGTGAAGATAGAAAGAAGGGGTAAATATGAAAGGGGGTAAATAATAGAGGTATTTAATAAGAAATAATGTAGTGTGGAACTAGTCTGCTTGAATTTGGATCCAGCTCTGCCACTTACCAGCTTCATGACCATAAGCAAGTTATTTTCATCAGTTTCCAACATCATAGGGGCTGTAATGCTGGTTACATGACTTACTCCACGTAATGCACTTAAAATAATATTCTGGCACATGCTTAGCATTTGGTAAGTACTAACTCTTCACAGGTAATAAGGAATGTATTGACACTCTTTTCAGTAAAAGGAAAGTTGAGTTCTAAGAGGTAAATACTGAAACATTATGAGGGTTTCCATAGAGAAAACTTAGAATTCAAGGGAGAACTCTAAATCTTGGAGCTTTCTTTGACCATAATTTGAAGCTTAGGGGCTAAATAAGATAAATAATACAGATCATCTTTGTGGCTGTGGCTCCTAGGACATGAGAGGCAAATATCACTTAATTATTTGGCATTTGGGTAGGAAAGGGAACTACATGTCTTGTAACTGAAAGGGGTAATTGAATAATCTGTATGGACATTTGCTAGAATGGTTTATTTGGCAAAAAACGTTTAACACATTCCCATACATATAACTGAACAATTTAGTACTTCTAGTTAGCTATGGCAATAATTTGATTCAAGAAAGAATTGTTGAACGAACTGAAAAAGAGTCTGGAGGCTTTGGCTAAAAATAATTGATAAAGGTTTATTTAAGTGTTTAGGGTTTGCAAAACAGAAACACAACTAGGCAAAAACCCAGAAGTGTTCTGAAGAAGAAAGAAAAGTTAAGAGCTCTTATAGTAAAAAGTGCATTCTTTAGAATAATCAGTTCTGTATTCCTAACCCTACGATTGGTCCAGGACAGTTATCAGTCAGATATCAGGAGATCTGGATGATGGGTGCCAGGTGGTCTGGAAGATGGGCGCCAGGACATCTGGTCACATCAATGGTCTGGATAATAGATGTCAGGTGGTCTGGATATGTGAATCCTTCATGCATTATCTGGAGGTCTGGTGTATGTCCAGGTATTGACACACAACAAATTGATGTATATCCAGGCATTGACACAGGACTAGAAAGTTCAAAATTTAAGTTCCCAAACTAGTTCAAACAAGAATAGAATTATTTTATCATGCCTCAACCAACTTTTTAGTAATTTAGCAGCTTGACTATAGTGATGCCATTGTATTCTTTCACTCTGTTCTTCAGAATAATTATGAAATATTGGTTACCATGTGGCTGGTACGTTTTGTGAAAATCCATGCCTCATCTGCTGGTTATTTTAAGCACATAAACAAAAACAACATCAACAATAACCTCAGCAGTGACAGTTTTTTTGTTGAGTGTTTCTTTAGGTATTAAGTGCTATAAGTTCTTTATTTTATTTATCATGATTCTTATTTAGTCAATTGAGGAGGAGATGATTAGTCCCATTTTATAGATGTGGAAACTGAGGCTTAGAGAGTTAAATAACTCATAACTAATAAATGTGAAGCCAGGGTTCAAACTCAAATATCTCTGACTCCCTCTCTTCTCCCCTTTTTCCCTCAGTGATTTACATTCTTCCTTTAACACTTAGATCATAGCACATGCCCCACTTAAGACTTTACTGACTGTCCAGCCTACCCCCAAATTGCTGAACTCCTATTATGGAGTTTTCAGCTCATATTGTTGGCTTTTTTTCTCCTACTGCCTCAGAGAGCTGTGTGTCTTCAGCTTGAGGACAGGGACTATATCCTCCTTCTCTTTCCCACTGATAACCATGTACTGAGCATCTACTCTGTCTAGACACTGAGGTTTACAGTGACAAATAAAATAGTCATGGACTCTTACCTCGTGGAATTTTTGTCTTAATGGGACCATATCTTTCCTCAATTAACAAACATTGAGCTTTGGGCCAGGCACTGTGTAAGCTGCATGAGGGCTGGGATTTTTAAAAATCTTTTTTATTTAGGTACAGCAGGGATTTTTGTTTCTTTGCTTCACTGCTGTCTCTCCAGCACCTAAAACACAGTAGGTGCTCAAAAAATATTTAATGACTGAGTGCATGATTGAATAAATGCAGATACAAAGATTAAATTTTTCCAGTCTTACAGCTGGTTCATAGCAGGCACTCAATAATTAGTGACTGGTTAGAAAGGCTACTTTATTTAAAACAACTCAGCTCAGCGATTGAAAGCTAAGAGCGGGGCGGAGCTGTAAGAACTGAGGGATTGTCTGACCCAAGTTTGGCTCCTAGAGCATGCGCAGTCCTCACCGAAGGTGGCGAGCAAAATATGCGGAGGTTGGGATTGCGTAGGCGCTGGTTCTGATTGGCTACTGTTCGCGCGCGAGGGGTCGTGCCTACTCGTCGCCAAGTAAACAGGGAAGGTAGGGGCGGGGCCAAAGAGGCACCGCGAGCTGGTTGGCCAGGCAGGGTTTGGAGGTATTGTGGATTGGTCCCGACCCGGAGCTCAGCTGTGTGCAACGCGCGGGGTCCCGGAGCCGGCGGCCTGAGGGATGGACGAGACAAGCCCACTAGTGTCCCCGGAGCGGGCCCAACCGCCGGACTACACCTTCCCGTCCGGCTCTGGAGCTCACTTTCCGCAGGTGCCGGGGGGCGCGGTCCGAGTGGCGGCGGCGGCCGGCCCGGCCCCCTCTCCGCCGGGCTCGCCAGGCCACGACCGGGAACGGCAGCCACTGCTGGATCGGGCCCGGGGCGCGGCGGCCCAGGGTCAGACCCAAAGTGTGGCGGCGCAGGCCCAAGCTCTGGCCGCCCAGGCCGCGGCGGCGGCGCACGCCGCGCAGGCCCACCGCGAGCGGAACGAGTTCCCGGAGGACCCCGAGTTCGAGGCGGTGGTGCGGCAAGCCGAGGTGGCCATCGAGCGCTGTATCTTTCCCGAGCGCATCTACCAGGGCTCCAGTGGAAGCTACTTCGTCAAGGACCCTCAGGGGGTGAGAGCGAGGTGGGGAGGGTGGGCCTGTCCGGGGTAGTTTGGGGATTTCGCACAGCCAGAGGGAGAACGGGGTGGGGGGGGGGTGTTAAAGAAAGGCTGCAAAAGAGAGAAACTTCACAGTGCGGAGCCCCTTGGCAGAATTTTGGAGTGCCACGGAGGACTGGAGACGCAGAAGCTCTGTGGAATGAAGAAATAAATCAGAACCTATTTGGTGGGGGAGGAGTGAGTGAAAATGAAAAGAGGAAATTGACCAGATACAGGCGAGAGGCCCAGAGGTGTGGTGGGGCAATCCGCCCCTGGACAGAGATGCGTGGGGAGATGCTGCTTTCTAGTGGCTTCCTGAGCTTTAAAGTACAGCGACTGCTATTCGGCCATTAACCTACAGATTTACAGATTTGAGCT